CAGCAGGAACGAAAACATCCCTGCGTTATCAACCCTGTTTTCAGCACAAATCCAAAACATAGCCCCATACCAGCTACTGTGGAGAAAATTACTTTATCCTAGCCAAAACCAGCACACTTCCTTACAAGCAGATTTTAACTAAAGAGTTTAATTATATGCTAAAAGAAAAATGTTTTTTTCTAATGTTTTCTTCTGAAGCCAACATTGAATACTTAATCCTATGTTTATGAGAGTAAAATCTGCTGCTATGGATACAGTGAGGTCAACGTTTCAACATTATTATTTTCCTGTGCTGTCTTAAAGGAGATGGTAGGATAAAACTTTTGTTTCAACAGAAGTATCTTAGAAAGTGTAATGTATTTTAAATTCATAGGTAAAGCATTTTATTTAATATTTCTCTTTTAAGTACAGGAATTATAACAAGGTCCAGACTGGCAGCACAGAAGAAACACCTCATCTGTAATAGAACTTTACTTCCATTTTCACCTGATTCTATAGAGTGTTTTACAAATATTAATTAAGCTGCACAAAAGTCCTATGATAATCCTCAAGGTGACCCCCAAAAGAAAAAGAAATGTTTTATACTTTTTACGAAGCACAAGGAAAGACTGAATGGCTTTTCTGGAAAAGCTGCAATTTTCTACTTGTTCTTTGTAAAAGAAAAATGAGTAATGTAAATTTTTATCTTTCCTGCTTTCTGAAGAACTGCAGAACAATAAATTCTTTTAATTGAAAGAATAATGCTAAGGAATATCTCCTCCAAATTGGCTGCTAGGCAGTTGAGTTACAAAACCATTCTCACTCAGTTTTAAAATACCTTCCCTAACAATTACTCACTTTTTACTTTCTTTTTATCATTGTATCATAAACCTTCTAATTTTCCTACTACCTACCGCATTACAGAAAAGGCTAGACAAAATTAAAAAATAGCACAATTTTTTAAAAGCTACACATAACACAAATACATACAGTCTTCTTTCTTTTATAGGAATAAAGAAATATAGTAGAAAACCTAATGCCATTTCTTCCTGTTACTGATCACATTTAAGATACTCATTATGCTGAATCTTTTACCTCTCTCTCTCCCCCGTTCCGTAAAAGAAACTTCACTGGTAAACCAGGTAATATTTCTCTGAAAAGCACAAGCCAAGGTAAATCTGCAATTTTCAAACAGCACAAAATATTTTATTGTTTTATCACTGGGCTACAGCACAGTGAGAGCCTGACTGAAGTGAAAGGGGCTGGCGTTTCAACCCAATTGTTTTATTTTTCACAGAAACCGAACCCAGGCGTGGTAACTATCAGTGCTGAATTTTCATGGCTACAGAGAAGCAGAGCGAGTAATAGGACAAGTCTCACAGGGCTCCTGCCCAAACGTCCTGGGTTTTTTGCTCTTTGTCGCAAAGAAATTATTGTAACTAGCAAAGTGCCTGGCCTTGTGATGTGAGCAAAGCCAAACAGTCCTGGATCTTACTGCACTCTCCTGTGCGGCCTGGTTCAACTAAATCACTTTTTCATGTCAAATTCCCCGTTGCTAACACTGGACAAGAATATTTCCTCAGGTGGCTGTTGTTAGGACTCATTAGGGTTTCTTCTGTGCTTTAAAATAATATTTATGACATTGACAACATAAATAGAGGCTTTGTTAGCATTTTAGATGATGTCCAAAAATGTTCTGTATAGTACCATTTTATTTTTTAAACTGGCTTTTTTTTTCAAACAAATGATTTTTGCTCTCAACAACCGGTGACGTTGTTGTGGTTTAACCCCAGCCAGCAACTAAGCACCACCCAGCCGCTCGCTCGCTCCCCCCGCCCCGGTGGGATGGGGGAGAGAATCGGAATGGTAAAAGTGAGAAAACTCGTGGGTTGGGATAAAGACAGATTAATAGGTAAAGCAAAAGCCGTGCGCGCAAGCAAAGCAAAGCAAGGAATTCATTCACTGCTTGCCATCGGCAGGCAGGTGTTCAGCCAGCTCCAGGAAAGCAGGGCTCCATTATGCATGACAGTTACTCGGAAAGACAAAACGTCATCACTTCGAACGTCCCCCCCTTCCTTCTTCTTCCCCCAGCTTTATATGCTGAGCATGATGTCATATGTTGTGGGATATCCCTTTGGTCAGGTGGGGTCAGCTGTCCCGGCTGTGTCCCCTCCCAACTTCTTGTGCCCCCCCAGCCTCCTCGCTGGTGGGGTGGGGTGAGAAGCAGCAAAGGCCTTGACTCTGTGTAAGCACTGCTCAGCAGTAACTAAAACACCCCTGTGTTATCAACCCTGTTTTCAGCACAAATCCAAAACACAGCCCCATAGCAGCTACTATGGAGAAAATTAACTCTATCCCAGCCAAAACCAGTACAGATATGTTTTTCTTTAACAAAAGATAGAAAAGTTTGAAATGCTGGTTTCCAAATAGAGTGTAAAAGAACAAACTCAGTGATGATTTTTGGCCAAAAAAAAATCTCAACCTCAAAAATAAAACCAACTTTTGATAACTGCAAAAGGAATTAAAAAATTGCTGATGAGAATAAAACTTCAGGGAAAAAGCAGTATTTATTAGCAGATGCTAGAAGGCTACAAGCCCATTCAGCTTTTCTAAACAATAAGAAATTATTGAAAAGCTAGAAAACCGCCAACAAACCCACTTAATTATAGATGATTGAATAAACCAAATTTTTAATCCTTTTATTAAGAAACTACTTTTAATACACTTAATTTCTAAAAATGTATTTGAATTTTAAAAACTATTAATTTGTAAATAATTAGAAATAAGCTAAAAATGAAAATTATAAAACCAATTAGGAGCCAAATCCTGGTGGGATTAATGAGGTTGTTTCATTAACACCAGAACTTAAGTCTAAATCTATAGCACTCAGCAACTGATTAAGTTATTGCAAAAATATAATTTAGTGAAACAGAGAAACGATCCAATTGAAAAGACTGTCTTCAGTTATTATACATCCATTGGCAGGATCAAACATCTCTTCCAAACTTGCTATTGATTGCAAAGTAACATCAAATGGGATCTGAAAGAACAGCAAAAAAAATACCAAATAAATAACTTTATTAAGCTTATAGGTACCAAAAAGTACATATATACAAATAAAATTAAATTAAAGCCAGATTGCTGACCTACAACCAAGGAATAAGTTAGAAATACTCATTGCCTCAATATAAATTTGTGGTTAATGACATCTCTTGCAGGAAACTAGTAACACAGGATTAAGGGGAGGAAATTTCTGTGAACAGTCTTGCTCACAAAGTTTATCCTGACCATCTGTAGGTAAAATGAAGATATCAGACAACAGCAACTAGAATGATTAGTAATTTGGAAGGCTTTTCCCAAGATGAGAAGTTGAAAGACTTGAGCTAACTGCAAAAGGTGAAACAGAGGGCAATGATAAACTGGTTTGTATGTCCATTGGACATGGAGAACTATGTAGCTGATTTAGATATTAAGAAAAACTAACTAAAGGAAGAGAAGCTTGGAACAGGCTATCTAGGGAGGTTAAGTTTTAGTGCAACTATTTTGTTTATAAATTTACTTTTAAGATTGAAACTCCCAAACACTGTGCTTTACTATCTTCCTCAAGAACATAGTTATTCATTAAATAGCTTTAAGAATAAGCCAGCTGATCAATTTTTATTCTTAAAACATGAACAGTCAAATAATTTAAAATGAATAATTCAATAAAAATGCACTTTTTCCACTTAGAGATATAATTCAGTGCTGAATCAAAAGCACCATAGGACACATGAACAGAAAGAACAGAATCAAAGAAGAGAAGCTGGAAACATGATAGGAGTTAAAGTGTGACAGCTCAAAGAATGAGAAAACAAACACAACAAATTAGCACTGACTTCATCCAATTAATTCACACGAAAATGAGCAACAAAAAAAGTGTGTGGTGGGGAAAAAATGATGTAAAACTACGTATAAGCAATGTATCTTTTGCGTTCTTCTGCATGCTTGAAAACAAAGGGAATGTACTACCCTATGGTATACATCATCCCACTGAGCTTTCCGCCTCTAGCAAAGAAGACGGGGTAATACACACATAAAACTTACTTGAAAATTTGGAAATACTACTTAGAAATGTGCTATACATAATGAAGTGCTGAGCACTCTGCAACATCTGTTGGCTTCAGAGAAGAATGAAGATACTCAGCATCTTGAAGGTTAGACTTCCCTTGCTCAACCAAATCTGCCATATCTAATAGGATCTTAGTTTGAAGTCTCTGTCTGAAACTTTGTGATGAAAAGCCCATTGTTCCACCTGTTGAAATATTTTAGCTTGTTCTGGCATTTAGCCAGAATAAAACAGAGCAGTTAACATATTCTTACTGGAAGGACACCACTAAATCTGCTCCCTCACTTTCATCGTAGACTCACAAGTAGAATCGTAGAATCATAGAACTGTTAAGGTTGGAAAAGACCCTTAAGATCATCGAGTCCAACCGTTAACCTATCACTGCCAAGTCCACCACTAAACCATGTCCCTAAGCACCACATCTACCCGTCTTTTAAATACCTCCAGGGATGGGGACTCAACCACTTCCCTGGGCAGCCTGGTGCAGTGCCTGACTACCCTTTCAGTGAAGAAGTTTTTCCTAATATCCAACCTAAACCTGCCCTGGCACAACTTGAGGCCATCTCCTCTCATCCTATCCCTTGTTACTGGGGAGAACAGAGTGGCCCCCACCTCGCTACAGCCTCCTTTCAGGTAGTTGTAGAGAGCCATAAGGTCTCCCCTCAGTCTCCTCTTCTCCAGACTAAACAACTCCACTTCCCTCAGCCGCTCCTCATAAGACTTGTGCTCTAGACCCTTCACCGACTTCATTGCCCTTCTTGGGACACGCTCCAGCACCTCGATGTCCTTCTTGTAGTGAGGGGCCCAAAACTGAACACAGTACTCGAGGTGCGGCCTCACCAGTGCCGAGTACAGGGGCACTATCACCTCCCTGGTCCTGCTGGCCACGCTATTCCTGATACAAGCCAGGATGCCATTGGCCCTCTTGGCCACCTGAGCACACTGCTGGCTCATGTTCAGGCGGCTGTCAACCAACACCCCCAGGTCCTTTTCCGCCAGGCAGCTCTCCAGCCACTCCTCCCCCAGCCTGTAGCGTTGCATGGGGTTGTTGTGATCCAAGTGCAGGACCCAGCACTGAGCCTTGTTGAATCTCATGCAGTTGGAAAACATTGTATATGCACGCATGCACAAACATATTTCATTTTCCCAATTTATGATCATATATATATATCAATATTCAGCCATAAAATATGCAGGCATCTCTGCTTATAAAGGCACAAAGAACAAGCAGTGGTCTGCACAGGAAGAAAGCCCTGGTTTCTGGCTAGAGCCAAAGCGCAAAAGACAAGTGCACCACTGCAGCTGCTCTCAAACCTGCTTGTACAACAGATTTTCTCAGTCCCCAGAAGCAGGCAATGTGAAGAGGAGTTCACAAGAATTTAAAACAGGTCCAGGAGGTCCACGTGATTCTAAGGAAGCCCGGCTCTACCTTTCCCTAGGTATCTGTCAAATCTCTCTGCCATGGAAGATATTTCAGTGGGACCGTGAGACTGAGTGATATGAAGGTCTTGGAGTCATTAGAGAGACCTTCAGGACGGATAACAAGGGGTGGCAAGAATGGTGCAATAGGTATAAAAGGGAAGCATGTGCTCCTAGGTAGCAGAGCGCAGGATGCACAGGACAGCATTACAGACTCTCGCTTCTGTAATAGGCTACTAGCCAAACTGTTCCCAGGTAAAACTTGGGACTCTCTTCTGGTAGCAAGAGCTACCTGGCTGGAAAAGAAGAGTACAGTGGATGCCTTATCTATTATCATTCCATTGTGAACAGTTACAGGGAATATATTTGAGGATTAGTAGGGGGGTTGATATGTTATGGTGGATTCCAAAATCTTCCTTGGACTTCCTTGCGCCCTGGCAGGTGTGGTCCTCTCCTGATCCCCCTAGGGTGGCTGAGGAAACTGAACAGTACTGCTGCCCACTACGGGCAAGTTCCCATTGTATCCTCTGGGATACTGACTATAACAGCATGGACAAAAAAATGGCATGCTGTCTCTCGGGACATGTCATGGGCAAGGCAGAGAAAGCTAAAGAAAACAGAAGGAAAGCCTGAATAACTGTAAAAACACAGGGATGGAAGGAAATTGCATTTGGCAATCGCATCATGGAAATTCACTGGAGTCTGTGTAAACAATGACCAGAGAATGCTGGATAAACCTGATGAACCCATTGTGAGTGAAATTCATTTTTAATACATTTTTGTATGTACAAAAAGGTGATCCTAATGAACAATGAACATATTCACAGTTTGTAATCATGCACATTTGTATTATATTTGTAAAGATGAAAAAATAAAACCCAAACAGAAAGCCCAACAATGTATAAGAAAAAAATAGGAAAATACTTAGTGGTATAATCCATGTTTCAGTTTAACTGAACAATTGTTTTGTTTTAGAAAACAGATTTTTACTATTAATGAGAACCACATACCTCAGTTAATGGCAAGGACAGAGCTGGAACAACAGACAGCAGTGCTTTAACTTCAGATAAACACCTTTTAGCCATTTCCTAATGGTATAAAACAAAAAAACCACTAATGTTGTAGTATCAGTCTCCTCTGATAAACAAACAGATGGCTTGGATTTACAACATTTTTCAGAACAATCAAGTTTTAGATTATTCTAGTGCAATTCACAGCAATATAAACCTCAGCTGATGAATATAAATTTTCTACACACAAATAGTTGTGTTTGCTGTACAAACACAAGTGCCCAAACCTTGCAGTTTCTACTGAGGCAAAATTGCCCCTGGCTCAGGTATTAAATCCAGTGAGCAAGCATACTTTTGCTACGTGTTTACTGAAGACATTCTAAACAAACACTCTGACAAGATGATATTTATACATGTATAATGCATGGCATGTTAATCTTAGTATTCTAAACATTGTTTTTCCAATTACTGACATTTATTAATGAAAGTTTGAGCAAAACCCTTCAGGTATTCAGAAACACCCACCAAAGGACAGCTCTGCCTACCCTCCTGAAAGCACTATGATTGGCCAAAACATCATTTGTTCTCCAAGCTGGTCAAAATACAGCCTCGTAATAAAGGCACAGCGCACAATTGTCACTGTTTCGCAGCATCCGTGAGACAAAATGACAGCCTCTACATCATTAATCATTTCATATAATAGATATAAAGAGAATCCTGTCACATGATAAATGTCTCCCACTTTGAAAATAAACGTTTATTTTGCCTTGGCATTTATCAAGCAGCAGTTATGCTGTGGCAACATTCCATTCCAATGACATTATCTCAAACAGACCACATAGAAAATTCTGAAATTATCTCTTTTGTGTGTTTATGTGGGGGGAGTTATTTGGTTGCGGACCATATTCAGCCTTGCTAATAAAAAGAAGAGAGGAAGGTGGCGCAGAGAAAAAGAAAATAAATTCGCTGCCAGTTTTGGTCCTCTCTCAATAACGTTATTAGAAGGTTCTTATTTCAGAAACAATCACTGCCCATTTTGCATTGAAGATGTGTAACTGATTTTTAAAAAGCACTTTTGGGTTGATCACCATGCTAATTTAACTCTATGCCAAGCATTTTCAGATGTAGATTACTAAAAATTAGGCATCAATTTTCAAATCTATGTACCGGAAGATGTAGTCTTTATTTTCAAGTGAAAAGTTGAAGATGTCTGATATTTTTCTAAAGTGACAAGCAATATATAAGGAAAAGAAAAAGTTAAATATTAAATGAAAAGTGAAAATATTTCAACATTTCTTGAAAGGGGTAAGGGAAGTTTCATCTTTTATGTCTTCCTTCCAAGTTACCTGTCATTTATTTCCCCAAAACAGACATCTCAAATGAAAGACTGTCAGACATATTTAAGAGCAGAACTGTTCTCACTTACTTCTGTTTTTTCATCAAGATGCACTTTTGCAACATTCATTATGGGTTTTTTTGAAGGAATTATTTTCAAGGTTTCACTTTGTTCAAGAAAACTTGTAGGTTCTGAAGCTGAAGACAAGCTTTTAGAACTTTGCATCAACATCTCAACTTGCTGCTTCAGATTAGATAATTTCTCCCGTAAAGAAACAATTCTGAAAGAACACAAGTTTTTCATTGTTGATGGTATAAAACAATATTAGTTTTTTCCATGTTATAATTGAACTGACCTAGCTTTTATTACATCTTGATTAGGTTCTACATTTTCTTTCATTTCAAGACTGATCTCCTAATTTTACAAAAAGAAATTATCCATTAAAGAAAATGGAAATAACAGAATGCATTAGCTTTTTGCATTAAAAATGGTAAGAAGAAGCATTTTAAGTATGCCTCTCTATGGAAAGATTTTCTCATCCAACCAGCACAAGGTGGACTGGCAAGCTGGGTGGCAGGGGCTGCAACTCTTCTTGGCCTGTTATTCCTTCCCCTCCACTGCTCAGCAGTTCCAGAAATTCTGGGGCTAGATGAATGACAATGAAGAAGTAATGAAAAATGCCATAGGATCTAAAATGAAGGGTTGAGTCTGGAGCTACAAGTGAGAAAAATTCTTGCATGCTCTGAGTTGTAATATGGGATGGAGAAAGTAGCTGATCCAGTGAGAGAATGGGACTGCTTCTTCTTAGATCTGCTAGCGTTTTCTTATGTTGCTATGCCAGTGTAATATAATTAGCATGTGTTACTCAGTTCTTTAAGAATCAAAACTAAAATGCTAATGTACTGAAAAGGCATATGTTTGCATGAGTTCAACCCTGTGTACAACATCTTACAGTCTTAATAGAGAAACATCTCTGAAAAGCGAAAATGAATGCTTTTAAAGACTTACAGCTCTTTGATATTTTGCACTTTATTTTCTCTCATCCTAAATGGTTGAGTGATCTTTAATATAGCATGAAATAACAGGATAAAGTCAGTAATTATTTACCTAGCCAACGGAATCCACAAGTGGCCTGAAAAAACAGACATTGAACTGAAAATCTTGATGTTGCTAATCTTGATGGGCTTTGTATTATAAGCATAAAGCAGCAAAACCTGTAAAAGAGATGGAATAGGTAAGCTATAATGCAGTATGGTATAGTAGACCTGAGCTAGTTCAGTGATACTAGATTATAATAACGATCAAATACAATGTACTGATGAAGAGGTAGATAACTGACTTTCAAAAAAGGGAGGAGTGTGGCCTCATATGAATTTGTACTATACTCATTTTAAAATATGTTAAAGCAATTTAATTATGGATATAATTTATACGGGTTTGAAAATTAATTATACCATATAGAGTCACCATCAAAATCCCAGTCTTGTCTTGATCCTAGTCAATCAATCCCACTTATGCTCATCTCCAAAGTTCCAACTTCAGGTAGGCTGAACAGAGAGCTTTTACTGAATTTCCAAAGGCCTTATGTAATTAGTTACATTTGCTAAACGGTCTTGTGCATGGCTGTCATCATACTAGTTTTAAATCAATGAAGTGCACATAAATCACCAATCTAATAAAGCTCTATCAATATAAGAGCATAAGAAAATGAAATAGAACATTCTCATCTTGCACTGAATTAATTTGCTATTGTGATTGAAAATATGCTTCCTAGTGGTAGCTGAATATTTTGACTATATGGATAATGTCAAGAATATGGCATTCCTATATTAGTCGTTTTCAAGAGTTGTCTTTGGATCTCTAATGATCTGTAAGGTCATGCTAAAGTAACCTGCAAAACTGTATTGAAAAGTACATTATTTGCACTAACTTCACAGGGCTTCTATCAGCTTACTAATAGAGATGAAAAGTGTCTAGTAGAAATTTTGGCAGTGATCTGTTATGCCAAAAAGTTTGGAGATCATGGATTTCTATTGCAGTAGCAGAAATTTTTACCTACACACTCTTCCCTTGTTTAAAAATAAAGCAAATTCTATGTCCTAGTCTCTTGCTTTCCTGCAACCCTCCAATCTCTCTCAATTTTCATGTTTAGTCTGATTTCTTAGGGAAATGAGGTTTACAAAATCCCATTTTCCCCCTACACGTGTATATTTGCTTTTCCGACAGCCTCTCACCAAACAGTATTGTTTGAATGTATTGGTTAGCTCTAACCAAACTTAACAGAGTGAAGGTATTGAAGACATAAAGGACCTGCAAAAGGCATGAATACAACATGGCCTGGAAGCTCTATAAGGTCAACAAAGTCCGTCTTTGGCCTGCCACCAAAAAACTGTCAGGGCATTCTGTTTGTCCTGCATAGCAGGTTTGTGGCAGAGTAAATATATAGCACCCTGCTGTCCAGCTTGCCAGTCAGCATATGTATAACTCAATTAAAACCAGTCATAACACAAATATTCATTGGAAATAAGACTCAATTTGTTCCAATACCTAAGGAACTGCTTTGGTGTAGTTTTACCTTAGTCTCTGTATGGTTTGATGGCTTTGCCAGAGAAGGAATGTACCACTGAATGTTAATTTCCTTATTTGGAGCATTTGCTGCCCTACTTTCCATCTGACTGTCTGTTTCTGCGATGACAGAAACCGGAGAAGCTATTCTCACATGTGACATCTCTGATGTAATTCCAGTAATTTCAAGAGACATCTGAAACACAAAAATTTTAAATTTTATTTTTTCTAGTGTAACATGCAAAATCTCTTATAATCTAGTGTCTGCTAGAATTGGTATAATTTTCACTGCTGCATAAACATATGCTTATTTAGATAAATGGGTAATTTTAAAAGGTGTCTGTTTTACCAAGTTAAGGCTTTTCGAAGTTCATATGATGAGACATTTCTAAAGGTAATGCAAAGGACCTCTTGGCTGACTTAGAGACACCTGCAGTAACAATGATTGTTACATTTGACTTACCTTCCTTATGTCGTTATGTTTTTTTTCTAAAAGATATTATTTGACATGCTGACCATACAAAATTTAGTGCTAAAAAAGTAATTTGTCTGCTATACATATTAATAATTAAAATAGTAATCTGAATGCTAGACTAATGCTTTATTTATGTTTACCTATTTGTTTTCACATTAGCTGTGCAACTAACAAAGGGTGATACCTACTGAAAATTCAGTCACTTAATTTGTGAGGATTTGTCATATATCGTATTTACTAAAATATATATGGAACATTAGCAGGCTGTTCATCACATACAGTTTGACTGTCATTTACCAGGGAAGCAATGGAGGAATACTGTCAACCAACATTCATTCATGAATAAAAGCCTTTTTTAAAATTGTAGAATATTTTATTTAAAGGCTGAACAGTGCCATAGCATTTCTACTTTTTAAAGTGTTATGCAGATCTGCAAAGAACAGAGGAAGCCAAACAGTGGCATTTTGGGGGAACGCTGAAGCTATTTGAAAAGGTTGTTAGTGTCTCCATCATTGATTCCAAAATGTGGACACTGAGAACAGCTGCCTGGGGAGTTAGTTCTTTTTAAATTTTGAATGTTCATTGCTGAAAAAAATTGGAGAATTTTACCCACTTTATTTTCAGAAAATACAGCTCATGACCGATACAGGGAAGTAAATCCAGGTGAGAAGAAGATGGATTTTTCACAGTGACATAATCTTACTTCACAAAGCCAGTTTCCATCCCGCATCAAAATATAGCAGAAGTGAAGATAAAGATGAAGTCATGCATGCTGAATTCATGCATTCCAGCATATGGATATGCCTTCAGTATGGCATGGGGATGATCCATGCCACGTAGGCTCTAAACACTAAGGCAGCAATAACAGTGGCCATAACCCATGGATGCCATGAGGTGTGCATAGATCACCCACCTACTGCAAGGATCTTCTACGTTTGGGATCTTAGACTTTAGTCTTGGGCATGAATCACCCACTATCCTGCTAGCATGGAGAGTGAATAAAATTATGAGAACACACATATATGGAGGTGGGAACAACCTAATTTATGCTGTGCCCCTGAACGAGAGCTCTTAAAAGTCCATTTTACAATATATATTTCTTTCTAAAACATATGGTATGTTTTCTTTTTCACTGAACTGCATCTTTTGTTATTTATATCATATTGAATCTTTTTGAGGAAGGATATTACAACTGCTTTTGTCAAACTGGAGGGTTGCTGGATTACACACATAAATATTTATCTATTCAACTTCCTCAAAAGCCTGAAAACAACAAACTGTCTCAGTTAAGTGTTTCCAATCCTACATACTATCATGGAGGGCAATAAAAAACAAGTATGCAAAATGTAACAGGGCACACAATTTTAATTATAGCCTTAATGTAATTTGGATGCTTTGTTCAGCAGAGCTGAAAAAAACTTCAAGAGTCAAAAACAGAATTACAAAGACACATGTAAGTGAAACAACCTTGTACATAAAAATCATTCCTTCAAAAATTATAGCTATTTGTACTGTTAAAAATCCCAGTATCAAATTACAGTAACATTATTTTAAAATAACTTACACAGCCTTCTGAATAGTTAACGCTTCAAAAAATGTTGTGATAAAAATCAATGAAGCTTAGAATTAAAAAATGTAAGAGCTTTATGCTTGTTAGCTGTCTACGACAGTGAAGCTAACACATGATTATGCAGCTTGCACCTGTCATGAACATGACAGTGAGCTCTGAAGCTTATTATTCTAGGACAGTGTAATACTAATTATGTCAAAAGAAGAGCAGACAGAGTAAAATAATTTTTGATATATGATGGCTGTTATAAATGTCACATAGCATATATTTACAATTTATTCAGTGGCACAGTCAGCTCTTTGTTGGGAAATGAGTAATGATATGCTGTCCAACACTGCAGAAAGTTCACCAACTCTAGAAGAGCTACTCTCACAAAAGTATTTTAATTCATTTTTATAACATAACAAGTTCTCACTCCTCAAGGCTCCCCTGTCTCCATCTAATACTGAACAGAATAGGTAAGAAATAAACCATAGAGAGTAAGCTGCCATTTTAATTTTTTAGTATTAGGATAATTATTGATGTGAGAAGTGGGATGGAGAAACTTTGAAGACAATTATTTTTACATTGAATCTTCAAAGACTTTTACTACTCAGTATTCAATACGTATGCCATGGTCAGCATAGACTCCGAAATTCCAGTTCAAGGTTTCTCTGAGTAATATAGTCTGAGCTGCCTACATTTGAAAGCTCAAATAGGCTGTTCGCAAGCCAGAGACCTGAAAAGATTGATTTTCTAGCCAGCTGATAATCAGTGAAAAAAATTGGCACACAAGGCCTTCAACAAATTTTGAGAAAATATATTTTTTGAAAATCATGTTTTTATTATAGACCGAATTAACAATATAAAGGCTTGTACATACAAATTACAAAGCAAACATCGGGACAATTGTGGTATGAAACATGGAGATCTACAAGATTAAAAGCCTCAGTCCAACCAAATAACACAGCCAACTTAATTAACTAATAATGAAATTTTCTTAAATATCATTCTGCTTCATCTTCTAGGGTCTAAATATACTGGGCATGGGATAGAGATCATTTTTGCAGGAATGAATAACAAGGATATTTGCATTTGTTAATTATGTCCTTCACTGCTTGGCCAGGATTTTGGTTTTGCACTGATCCTCTGCATAATGAATTTCATTCTTCTATAGTGCTCTCAGAAATATCGCCATTGGAACTAGCAAGAATCTGAGTAAAATGCAAGTATAATACATATTTTTGAAACATCAGAAAGAAAATAAGTACCTTTGAAGAATCAGCTGGCCTACCAAGTGGCAATTCTACATCATGTAGCTCTTCTGGGAAATTCTCAAGACAACACATTGAATATTCAAACAAATGTTTTTTAAGAAAGGAGTGCATTTCTGCTATGCGTAGAACAATCCCTGTGTCAAAATCAGAACTAAAGTGTCCATCTCCTGCAGAAAATGATCCACGTCCTGAGTTAGGGGCAGCTTTGAAAAGAGAGTTATATTACATCATCATTTGCCATTAAAAAGTAAAGTTTCTACAGCTACTTAATATTTATAAATTTTGAAAATATAGTAAAATATGTAAATTGATTCAATATCAAATAAATGCATTTCCAACAATTATACTGATTGTCCTTAAATACTACTAGGTTATGCTATTTGTATTGCAATTTTTCACTGGAGATCCGATAATGAAACAAGCTCTGTCTAGACCTTATAAAAGAGCATAAAATGGGAGGTGCAGTTTTGAGGTTTAGGTACTTAAGTTTAAATGTGTAAGCATCAATATGTTCACTAGATGTCTGAGCACCCACTAGAATAAAAGCTTATTTATTCAGTACAGTCCAAAGAAGCTCTAAGAGCTCTTAAGACTCTAATTTAGACAGCTAGTGGCTGATCAGCTGAGTCACTACCTAGGCTCCATCATCGGTAACTACAGCTGAGATATACATGCACATTTCGACACCTACTTGTAGATACCTTACTGTCCTTATAGTTCTGTGGTGAGGTAGAATACTTTCGCTTCATTTGGTGCTGCAAGGAAAAAACCCAACCCTCTCTGAAATTATTATTTTCAGAGTTGCCAGATTTCTCTCTAGGCAGCACCTACATGAACAACCTAGTTCTATTCTCACCTGTCAGGTTATCACTTATATATCCAGCAGCTGGCCATCAGATGTAGATGCATAGTATTAGGGCTCTGAAATTAATGGGTTCTTACTCTGTTTGAAAGGTCCTATCTATTACCATCTTTGGTTTACAGTGAAATAAACCAAGTATGTACGTAACATCTGGGGGTTTGGTCAAAACACATTCAATAATGCTCAGTCTCCCCATTTACACTACACTCAATTCTCACAAACAGGCCCCCAAACTGAACAGGTTTGTTTCTGATGTGACTTGTCTGATGTACCTAGAACTAAAAATAAATGTAGATTATGAATTTTTAAAAAAAACTTCAGATATAGTAAGAGCAATTAAGTTTTGAGGGATGCTTTTCCTGGTGTCATGAAAGCATATGAATAATGATAAAAAAAAAGGTCATATTATCTTCACTTACAACTTCGTAAACTGAACATAAATCTTGATTTCAGTTAAGATTTTTTCACATTTATACAATTTAAAGGAACTCAAAATGAGACTATCTATCTCAGCTGATGGCCTTAGAATCTGACACTCTTGGCCCCCGAGAACAATCTCTCACCTATGGCAGTTTTCTAGAAGGAAGAAAAAATTCATACCAAATAGAAGGTTTGTGTTATAAAGTCTTTTTAAATAACTGTGGTAACGAATTAAGTGAACCCAAGTTATTGTCTCTTTCTTCTGGCTGGCCTTTGTGGCAAGATTTTCTGTTCCTTCACTTTGGCTCTGCTTGTCTTGTATGATTTGTTTGTTTTCAGTAGAAGATGCTGTGGGGCTTTCAGAGACAACATTGTATCCTTCTGCAAATCCAATAACAGTTCAACAACACACATTAAGTGAATGGTTGCAATTCAAAATTAATTTCTGCATTGTGTTGGAATTGACTAATCTGTAACTAAAAATGTAACAACTTGTGAACCTGGTTATGTTTTTCATAAGAGGAAAATTCTTTCTATTCTGCTTTAATATGAGTTGAACTAATAAGGAACCTATTTCTTAGATCATGGCCAGGAATCTGACTGGTCCTTGCAAGAGGCTAAAAGGGGTAGAGAGCAAGGTGCACTCTCTCTCTGAATTTAAATATAAAACCATTACTTCTATATGTTGTTCAATAGCAGATATTTACTAAAGGGAAACAACACTAGCAGTCATCAGTCATAACTACAGGACTTGAACTTCCCAGTTACATTGACCTGAACTCAGAAGAGTTACGTACTCTGAAATGTTTACTGTTAGCTTCAATCCAGTCCCTTTTAGTTATTAAGCATATTATCAATGAAATGTGTTCTTGACTATGGACTAAAAAGATCTTTTTTTTTTTTTTGGTGCTGCCTAGAAGTTATACTTATGCAAAAAGAGGAAAAAAAATATCGGTACAGTTATCACTATATCACTGCTTATATTCAATTTTTTTTCATTGTATTAGTACATGGCTCTCTCAAAAGCCTACACAATTCTTCTGCTCTGTTTCCCACTCCAAATTGAACAAACATTATGTTACAGTAATTCCTAATAGTAAACTTCCAGAAAATAATTGTGTGCTTCTACAAAATCTGAATGTCTCCATTATTTCTGATACTTCACTGTCAATTGTAAAAACAGAATTCAGTTAAAATGGCCACATTGTTTATAGATGAAACTTAAACAATGTGTTTCACTAATGGTTTTACAGAAAATATTTAGTATGCTGTGCCAATCATTTCCATTTCAATTTACCTTTATATATTTTGGCCTACTACTGCTTTTCTACATTTTCTATTCTTCTTTGTAATGCCTAACAGAACTATCAGGAGAAACACCTGCTGCATTTGATAAAAGAAAAAATTATCTGTAATTATAAGCAAATGGGGCTAGTACAAAACAATCAGATTGATGGAAGGTCTTAGCATACAACACTTGTTTTCTTAAACCAATCAAAACATATATGTTTAAACACTGTACAGTAAGTAGACATTGCTCAGCTTTGCCAGCAACTATCAGTCAGAGCAATTCAGTCTTTGTCAGTCACTTGGGATGATTGAAATTAACCCACTGAACCAAAATTTTATCACTAAATTAATGGTCTCCAATTTAAAAATAAATACAGATATTTTGCCTTAGTGTTTATATAACATCTGGCAAGCATTATCCCAGCATTCCTAGTTTCACTGATTTTTTTTTTAAATCAAAAATTTCCATTTCATCAGCTCCATTAGCTGCAAAAGACATGCAGATCTTGGAAATAAACCAGGCAAAGGCAAAGTTCTACCAAGCTAATGGAAGCATCTCTATGGACTGGAAAGACAGTGAAATTTTTTTTATTATACTGACTTTGACTTTTAGAATACAGTACCTAGGCAGATAACTTTGCAAGAATTTGGTTTTATTGGATTTGCTGTTTGGTTTTTTTTCTGGGGGGGGAGGCGGGCAGGCAGGGAGAGACAAGCTATTCAACACCAACTTGTCTTTGCAAAATCAAAAGAAAAACTGAAAATCTCCAAGGAAAAGCTAATATACCTAGGGGAAAAAAATCTGTTCTAAATCAGTGTTTGAAAAAAAAGCAGTGATGACTGATAGGGGGGCCAAGACCTACTAGAGAAGTGTGGGGAAGTCCTGTGACACAGGTCTATCTGTTTTTCTAACAGTATGGCAGTATGTGCACTCTGTCTTTCTGAGCCACAATATGCAAACAATGCAGTTTTTCTTAACCTATTAAACACATGCACAGGCTGATATTTAAAGATCCATTAGGTCTGCTCAATATTTTGTACTGCTATGCAGGACGAGGATTTGGATTTACTTTCCAAATTTGACTTATAATTTTTCATAAATGAAAATTAGATATTAAATGTATTACTAGATTACATGGCATATATAGTTTATTAGTTATTTAATGTTCTAATATTACTAGGTATAAAGGAATACCAGATAAGAAATCTCTGTATGAAGCAAGAAGATCCATGGAAGCAAATTCTGGGATTTTCTGTTTCACTGCATCCTTCATGCTGTGTTCTTTAACACTCTTCATTCCAATTAAGAGCTGAGAAGCAAGCACAGCTTCACTGACCTAAAAATCATATTTATTTTATTCAGAACCAGTTCACTACAATATTTATACAGATTTTAACATCTGAGAGTAACAAGATGATGACAAAAAATTAATTAACATACTATATTTTTAAAAGTCAGGAAAATATTTCTCTCTGGCATATGGTACATACTATACTTAAACAAATCATTACTGCCGACAGCTTAATTACTACATAAGGGATTTCAAATCAGATATCCTCACCTGGATGCCACTGATGTCTACCCACATGTCAAATACATATCAGGGAGTGTGCTGTTTTATTTGCACTGAATCAAAGTTGAGGTAAACAAAGTCAGATCTGTCCGAGAGAGATTAAATGCACTACTCAGACAGTGTCTATTTTAATTTTGTCAAGTAAGACCCATGCCAGAAATTTCAGGAAACCTTAATTCTTGTCTTGTTTGCATTGTCTTGTTTGCTTGTGTAAGTAGCATAAGATGAAATTACAAAAACCAAAAAATTACCTCTTCAGAATATTGCACCAACCTGTGTAGCTGCTCTTATTGCAATCCAGGCTCGTACTTTGTAGCCTTCTGATTTCCGAGCTTCCTCAGGAGAAGAAGAGAGTTCTCCAGGAGAGGTCTAAAATTATACACCAGTTCATAATTAGGATTCTAAATGTATTATGGTAAAATATATTTGAAAGACAGAAAAAAGTCCTCCTACTTACAGAATTATTGTTTTATTTGCAAGTTGTAAAAATCAGCATTGATTGTAAATCCATGAATTAATTGCTAAAACTGAAAAAAATATCCAGAGCATACTAATGGGCTGCTCCTGTAAAAATTTTCTCAGAGCAGCTCATATTACAGTCACTACTGTATAGAATTTTGCTAGAATTTTCCATTTTCTGGAATCTTAATTACCTCTTTTCTCCTATGTTACACATTACGCTTTGAATCTATGGCTTGTAGCCACTTTAACGTGGTTAAAGCCTTTATATTTCTCATGCTGTCGCTCATATTTGTACTGAAAAATTGAAATGTGGTAAAGTATAAATATTACCACTTAAAAATCAGGTTTGAATGTTACGTTTTCTTTGCAAGGTACAAATTAATTAATACATAATCAGAAATGAAAACACTGTTGGTGCTGTTTCTTCCTATTTTTAACAGAAAAGCATTTTAAATGTTATCATTCAATGCAATAAACATGAGAAATAACATCAAACAAGATAAAATTCTACTGCTGTACTATATGATTTCTTTGTGTGATTTTTCTAGTAGGATTTTCAGTGTCAGTATGATTTATAAGTCACTGTAAGTAATAGTCTGGCAAGGTGCACAATGTTCTAACAGAAATATATTTCCTGCATTGAAGAGGCCACTACCCAAAAGATAGAAAACATACGTTTGATTTGGAAGGCACCTTCTTATCTGTCTGTGACACATCCTCGTTATTTGTGGCAAAATGCAAATATAATAGTGCTATTTCAAGGTATGATCTTCTTATTAACCTGTAAGAAACAACATACAGATCAATCAATGTTACTATCAAAGTAAGCATTACAATGATACAATCTGACTCCTGCATAAGACTAGCCAGACAGCTCACCAAATAAATCATTCATCATCTACTTAAAGTGTATCTTCTTTCAGAAAGCCATGTGATCCTGTTTTAAAGTCTTAGTAAGCCTAAAACATCCCTATGGTATGCTTAACAAATAACACATTGATTTAAGAGCATGTCAAATATAATTTGCATTATGTGCAACAAATATTCCATAAATAAATTGCTAACATTTAGTAAGAAAACTGTAATTCTGCAAGGGAAGTGATCTTTCTGTACAGAATCTGTATGGGTTCCTCTTCCTTCCTCAAGTTAAGGCATATATCCGTTGTCCTGGTTTCCCTGAAACATGGGTGGCTGAATTTGGATATGGGTCTTCAGTCAAACTCTTCCAAGAATCAGCAAAAATACCCACAGTGACCAAAACAGTCTTTCGTTTCCTTATTGGGCTTGGCTGAGGAACCTTCTCAGTTCTGAGTTCTGTACTAGAATACTCTACATCTTCAGACAGACTGTGCTCACCAATTCCTGTTCTCGTCCTCTATTTCCTTGTCCTTTCAGTTATTTTTACAGTAGTATCCTAAACCAGGCAAAAATCCTAGACTCATAGAATCATAGAATGGTTTGGGTTGGAAGGGACCTTTAAAGGTCATCTAGTCCAACCCCCCTGCAATAAGCAGGGACATCTTCAACTAGGTCAGGTTGCTCAGAGCCCCATCCAACCTGACTTTGAATGTTTCCAGGTATGGGGCATCTACAGCCTCTCTGGGCAACCCTTTCCAGTGTTTCACCGCCCTCATTGTAAAAAATGTCTTCCTTATATCTATTCTAAATCTACCTTCTTTTAGTTTAAAACCATTACCCCTTGTCCTATCGCTACAAGCCCTATTAAAAAGTCTGTCCTCATCTTTCTTATAAGCCCCCTTTAAGTACTGAAAGGCTGCAGGTAAGGTCCCCCCGCAGCCTTCTCTTCTCCAGGCTGAACAACCCCAGCTCTTTCAGCCTTTCTTCACAGGGGGCGTGTTCCATCCCTCTGATGATTTTTGTGGCCCTCCTCTGGACCCGCTCCAACAGGTCCGTGTTTTTCCTATACTGAGGACTCCAGAGCTGGATGCAGTGCTCCAGGTGGGATTTTACCAGAGCAGAGTAGAGGGGCATGATTATTCCCCTCGACCTGCTGAAAATCACTATATCTGGAGAACTTCTCCAACGTTTCTATTCCCTATGGGTTTATAACAGTCTTTTTATGCAGGTTCCTCCTGGCTCTGTAGATCTTTCCAGATCTCCCCTATAAATTAGCTTTCCTTAGCATAGCAACAAAACCCGGCTCATGCAGTTACTATTCTGGACACAGTCATATTGCACAGAGTTGGCTATTTGTATACTACAATAAATTCCAGCTTTTGTATGATTTGTGTAAAGCAAAATACAAAAGTCAAAGAGTGCTGTACAGTTCAAGATAGGGCAAACTAAGTGGGAAGATGGCAAGTTCTACATTTAGCTGGTGACAATTTAGGTAACTTTCTAGTCTTGCTAACAAAAAAGGATTTGAGGCATCAAGAAACAACTTTAATTAAACAATCCCATAGATATCAGCGGGCTTGTATAAAGGTGTTCAGGATGTTTAGTTCTCTAAAATAAGAAAGCCAAGGTCCATCGATGTTGATGTACATTCTTTTAGAAAGATGGTAAGCAAATTAAATAAGAGTGTAGCAAATTAAACTTGCAAAACGTCACCACAGTCCGTTTCTGCACTATCTTCCATCATGCTGACGGCTTGTAGAGGTTTATTACTATGGTACTGCTTCTGTGTTCAGAGTTCTGGTTCATTAAGTAACAGAATACCCAAACAAGCAAGGTAAATTGCTGCCTTTACACTGTCTGTAACCAGACATGGCACATTATTCATTAAGACTGGTCAAGAAACTAAAAAAAAACTAAAGTCCAATGTATCAGAGCTGCTTGACAGAATTTATTGGCTGGCTTGGCTCAGCTCTTCAGGCATCTTCATGCTGATAACTAATGCCGAAGTCACTGTCCTGATATCTGTTGCAAACACATTTCCTATGCTCCTTCTGCCTCTGTTCTTCTGACTGTTTCTGGCTGCTAACCTTTTCAAGCTGGATTTCTATTATCTGGAAGGGGGCAGACCACAGCTCATCTTCTGAAATATGAATAAAACCCCTGTTTAATTGATAGCTCTGTTCCTGGTGTTGACAGGGAGGGTACAAATTTGGAAACAGAACAGAAAGCTGTAACTTTGTATACTCCAAAATATGCTTTTAAATGTTCTCAGCATTTGTTTTAAATAAGAGAATAAATACACAGTGGCTCTTCTATACTGCAATAGAAGTAAATTCTCCAAAACATAAAAGATGCTTCATAATAGAAGTCCCACACCAGTCCCTCAGAAAACTGTCAAAAAACTATATTCATGTGTGATAAAAATTATTTTTAAAGTTATATAGCTAGTTTCTTACTCAAATTTTTGGTCATGTTGCTGGCTGAGTTTTATAGCTTCCAACAGGGTTTCAACAGCTCGAGATGACTTGTTATTGCCTGCTTCAGTTATCTGGTGTTCTACCTTACCTAAGAAAGAAATATAGAAAGCAGATTTGCAAGATTTTTTTTTTTTTTCTGTAAGACCCAACCTTTTTTTCCCTCCAGGAAAGCTGAACAACATAGTGCATTATCTATTATCTTCCTGATAAGCAAAATCTTTTCCAGTTCGTTTAAAATGTAATGCACAATGCTTGTATAGCAAATTACTTCATAGAGTAGCTAAAATTATCAAACTTTGTAATCATAATGTCTCCTAACATGTAGTGATCCTAACTTTTAGGACTTTTTAAGACTTTTAATGGTCTTTTAAGACCATTGTATGTGGAGGAGTTAATGCACAGGCACAGGCCTGTTCTGTGCTGCACTATGCTGCACATACAGTGTGGCCTTCAGGCCTGTGCTGTGCACATCCCTTAGCCACAGGATAAATATAGCCACGTGGGCTGTAACAGAAGAGCCTGTTGGCAGCATCTTCTCAGTACCAGTGATTACACCACCTGCCCTTTCTGCAAAAGTGCAGCAAGGAGTTCTTATGTGAATATGCTTTTTGTTTGACAGTAGAAATGATCAATAGAATTGTTTTCTTTTAAGAAAATCCTCTAACAGTTCAAAAGAGCAAAATGAGGCAACCTTTCCACAGACAGGATCTGCATGTTGTGTTACACCCTGATTGGAAGCCCATTCAATACTGCACAACTTCGGGTTCTCAGCATCTGAAGGCACATAAGATTATTTACGCTATCCTCTTTTTCTTTATAGTGTTAACTCCAATAAATGGCATTTTAAGAGATACTCAGCATCTGAGTGCCTTTCTGGCTGGTGTCTTAACGAACCAACACCTCCTGGTGCAAAACATAATGCCACTAAAATCCAAACGCATGCAAATACTGTGTAATTCATTAGCTTTGTTAAATCATTTAGAAATGCTTTCTGAGCCTCTCATCTTCTGTAGTTCAGACTGATGCAAAGACGCTAATTAGCTTTCTACAGTGTCCTTAATCTCATTGGCTACACCCTTTGATCCCTGATAACATAGAGGTGGGAAAAGTTCTACAGCAGTTTTGAAATTACTTGTTGTGTAATGCATTCTGAACTATGCTGGTGTGACACTAAACACAGGAGAGAGATCTGCAGCTATACAGGGTGAGAAATATCCAAGTCTGTTCTATTTTTACAGTAAAATGTCTCCTTTTTAAGAGAGGCCACACATGCATAACATTGCCTAGGAAAGCAATCATGATGTACAAACGGTTTTATTTACCTATCTGAAAAAGAAGTTCAGCTTCCATATCTAATTTTTTTGTTGCAGATGCTCTGCAAAGCTTCAATGCTGATTCTAAATGTTTGAGAGCATGTAGCCATTGCAGTGGATCTCCTCTTGCAGGTGTACAAGCTACTTTTTCAGCTAATGTGTGTCCTAAGAAAAAAAAAAAAAGACAATTCTTAGTAAATTACTTAATAGAAAATCAATTTATGCAAAAAGAAGCAACTTCCTTAGAACAAATGTTGTTACATATTTACTGTTACAATCCAATTCTCAAAAATCAGAGTGATTAATGGATATAAATACAGAAGTATAATGTTGTTTCACTACTTTATGATGCCATTGAGGTTTACCTAGGCCATCCAAAAGCTCAGGCTACAAAAATCAACCCTTTCACAAACTATGTGGAAAGACTAGCAGTAAGCCACTTCATAACTTTATTTCACCTGGCAGTTGTAGGCAAAACCTAAACCTCTCTGAGCATTTCCAAATTCTGAAATTCCTTTTGTACTAACCAGTTCTAAAGGCTTCTTTGATGTATTGCATACCTCTTATACTGTACTCCCCAATATTCATCTGTATTCATAGGCTCTTCCTAAAAACATGGATTCAGAAACAGGAACTGATCAAATATGGGCATTACTATGAGTGAGTCTGGGCATGCCTGCACTGACAAGCAGTAAAGCACAATAAGAGTGGATCTCTAGAGCAAACCGGCTGGTGTTGAAGACCTGACAGTCATAGCAGATGCATTTCAGAGTGTTTACTTTGGACCACCTCTCTTCTAGCCCTAAGGACTGAGTACAAAGTAGTGGTTGGGGTGCACCGATGTGCTCCTGCAGCACATCATCTTGAAAAAGAATCTAGAACACTTTGAGGCTGCTCCACAATGCAAACCAAAGTGCAGTAAGTGATTTCTGGATTTTCTAGTCCATTGTAAGTCAGATGTACACCAAATTAAGTTTAGCAGAAGGAACATGGAGACAATATCCCTTTC